CCCCCCCCGGTGTGTGTCAGTGCGTCGTCTGCAGGAGGCTCTGAAGCGCGAGACGTATTTGAAGCAGCAGGCGATAGGCAAGCTGGACCTCATCAGGGCCGAGATGGAAATGGGCGGCTTCGACCCCGAGAGCCTGGCCTCACACTGGAAGGACAAAATCGACAAACTCGAACAGCAAAACCAACTGCTCACGGTAAAGTTTAACGTGTCGATGGGCAGCTGATTGATTGCACCCCCTCTGCAAACGTCTATCGTGGAACGAATGCAGGCCGATTTGGCTGCCACAAAGGAGAAGCTGACCGAGTACGAGCTCGAGACTTCATACTACTATCAGCGAGCGAGACAGAGAGGGGAACCGCGAGAAATGGGGGCCGCCGCCGCCACCCAGGCCAGCAGCACCCGAACACTCCCCCTACAGCAGCTGCAGCAGCAGCCGGGGCGCCCGCCCTCTCCCCCGATGCCCTCCACCATCCCCCTCTTCGCCACTGCCCCATCTACCACACGACGGCCACCAGCCAGCGCCGCCTCACAGGACGCCGACATGCCTTCTGAGAGCAGAGACCAGCTCATGTCGTCAGAGAGCCAGCAAGCCGGCCGCTTCGGCCCGCTGTTCACTGCCAGGCCGTCTGAGCCGGCGAACCGCGCTATGATCCCGCCGTCGGGCCCTCGGGTGAGGGGCAGCGCGACGACCAACAAGCGAAAAGAGGCGGGCAAGCGGTCGCTGCAGCAGAGTGGCGGGCCTGCTGTGCCGCTGCTGAGTGAGGTGGATGTGCTGAGCCACGCGCTTGGCCAGTCGTCGAGCGGGCAGCCCAAGACGCCCTCCAATGGATCGGGTGCGAAGGGCGGAGGCAACGAGAGACAGAAGCGGCCGACCCCGGTGCTGTCGGTGCAGGGGTCGTCTGCCGGAGAGGCGGACTCGCCGAGTGCGCGGAGCAACATGCAGACACCGCAGCATTGAGATCTGATTGGCGTTGAAATTGATTGATTGATGCCTTCGTGGCTGACCTGTGTGGGGTCGTTCCTGTGTGGCGTGGCAAGCAGGTCGTATACATGGGTCTTTGTCAGATGGAATGCGGCGTGCGGAGACGCAAACCAAGACAGACAACAGAGACCGGCTCACAATTTATCGAATGAGTCTGTCCGGAGCCGGCTGACCGGCTCAGAGGCAAAACTGTATGTCTTTCTCTGATCTCCTTCCCTTCCCTCCCAATAGTCCAGTATGTGTGTGTGTGTGGATGCCTTGTGGTGTGTGGTGGTCGACTGACTTCACTTGACAGACCAAGAGCAGACTCCGGTCAGCAGGCAAAAAGAGAGAGTGAGAGCAGAGTGGGTGATATTGTGTGGTATTGTCTGATGTGATGTGTCGGCTGACTTTGGCCGGGCCGGCCTTATACTGCCTCCAAAAACCCAGAAAGAAAAGACACGCGCGAACGGCCTCTCTGTCTATGATATACTGGCTTTCTGACTAACACGACACACTAAGGACAGTCTCTCCACATGTGCGGCCATCCCACAATTACATTGACGATATGATGCAGCCGTTTGTCTGCCTGTCGGCTTCTATCGGCATCGGGATGTGCAGCAGGCGCGCGCAGGGACTGCACACACAGATGGTAGATCGGAAAGGGCACAACAAACACTCACATCCTGTTGGTTGTGTTGTGTGTCGGCAGTGCAGTGCTTTGGCTGACTGACCTGGGGGGCGCTGGACCGGCTGGGCGGGAACTGGCTGTGTACACAAAGACATCATCCATGGAGACATACACTCATAAGAGCAAGGCAATGGCGATATGACGACATGTGTCAGTGTGTCTCCCCCTCACCACAGCTGTGGCGACGAGCTGGGGGCCGGTGTAGCCGCACTGCTCGGGGGTCAACTTGTGCTCGTTCATCTAACCCACACATACACACACACAGATACATGTCCATCATCCCTCTCGCCCGTGTCTCTCTCTTCTCTGTATGTCATGTGCATCGCAGCGTACGATGTTGATCTGTTCCTGGTTGGGTATCCATCCCGCGGGCGGCCCCTCGAGCTTCGTCTCGATGACGTCGCCCACCGGCTCGGGTTTGCCGGTCCAGGTGTGGCCGTCGCGCATGTGTGTGGTGGGCGGTAGGGGGCCAAAGGTTTCTGTTGGCCAGGGCTTGGCGTCCTTGAGCTGCTCCGGGAAGGCCGCTGGGATGGGCTCCTGGATGTATTTGAACAGGTTGAGGTCAATGCCGTTCGTGGCGAATAGCTCGACCAACTGCATCTGGCTGATGCTCACACCTGACACCACACACCAGGGCACACACATCGCAACAACACAATGGACAGACAGAGACAGAGACACGACCATGTGAGAAGGTGCGGGCATGTGTACCCGGAGGTATGTCAATGTTGAGTGTGGCTTTGATGATTGGCGGGACGACCACGTGGGTGGGACTGGGAGGCAGCATCGTGGTCGTACGGTGGGGAATCACCTACACACACACATCAACACACAGACACATGGGAGGCACCTGTGCTGTGTTGTGGGGGGTGTGTGTGTGTGTGTGTGTGTGCTGACAGACAGACCACGGGGTATTTGTTGTACTTATATTCGTAGACGGGCACCTCATAGGGCTTCTCAATGTCCTTGTACCTGCACAAACACATTGCACATCGAGACACCGGCCAGCCCATGTCTGCGTGTCCTGCTTGTGGCCGTTTGTCTCATGAGATGTGCTGACTTGACGACCTCCACCTCTCGGTCGACCACCACCTCTCTGTGAGAGGACACACAAAGAAAGACACACACAGAGATGTGATGGCAGGGAAGTCTTATTGCATGCGGGGTGTGGTGACTGCATACTTCTCGACGACGACCTCTTTCCAGATCGGCACCACCTCACCGGGCACAGGCACATGACGCACCTGCGGAACACACAACATCCACTCACACAAGGAAATAAGTGGCCCCGAGTGCGTGTTCCCTCTGCCTGGCTGACTGACCTCCTCTTTGACGATGTATTTGGGCACTTCCTTGACGACCTCGACGGGCACGTCGACGTAGTGGGGCACGGGGACCTCCTGCACGCGCTCGATGGTCTTGACCTCCACCTTGGGGACGTACTTGATGACCGGCACGTGGATCTGCACACATGGACACATACAGGGAGGGAGGGGGGATAAGGCATGCATGCATGATGCCCTCCCTGTGTGTGCCTGTGGGTCGGTTACGTCGATGGGGACCGCCTTGGGGACCTCCTTGACCACCTCCACCACATGAGGCACCTGTGGGTCCGATCACAACCAAGGGCCGCAGGTGTGTGTGTGTCGGGGCC